ATTATTTCCTTCCGCTTCCAGGTGGACAGAGTTCTTTTCCTTTTGGCAGGGGAGGGGTGCAGAGAGGGAAATCCCTGAAATGGCAATTGGGAAACTAGACAGTTTTAAGACGGATGCTGGGAAGGGCTTGGTCAATCATCCTTTAGGGACATTTGTTGGGCCATAGCTACAGGCACCACAAAAATTCTAAATAAGGATGACAAAAATTGTGAGACTCAAGCATTATCTGCCAGGGAATTTCCAATTTTCCCCCGGGCCAAAAAATAATTCACACTCAAAGAACAAAGAGACTAGAAGGAGAAAGGACCAGTTATTTGAAAGTAATTGAAAAATTAAAGGAGGAAATTTTCACAAAATGTCATGGGCACATGGTACCCTGAGGAGCTGTCTGGGCACTGCCATTTCTTTTTCTCTTCTCCCCACCGCGGAACACTGACAGTGCTGAAGATGGAATCCAGGGCCTTGTGCATGCTAAGCAAGCCCTCTAGACTGAGCAACACCTCTAGCCCTCCTGAAGCTCCTTCTGCTTTCCTGGGGCTGGTTGGTTCATGCTCCTCAGAATGGGAGCCATCTGAGCAGACTCAGGCATCTGCTCTGGGCCATCTGGGTACCACTTGGTGACAGGATTGCTGGGTGAGACTTGACTCAGTGGCCCCACTCTCCTGATGGACCCAGTTCTTCCTAGGTACCAGTGCAAGTGGTTCCAACCCTACTATTATACCCTGGGCAGTGAGACTAAGTACAGCAGTGATGCCAAGGTGTGCACAGGGCTGTTTTGAGCTGAGGGGCTGCCCCTTCCATCTGGGCATCAGGGCAGCATAGCCACTGTGAAGGAATGTCCATCAGAACCCAACAAAGTAGACCATGGGCAAGGACGAGAACACCACATACCCCTCCTTGGGCTCAGGGATACCCAGTCATCAGGATTCATTTCATTGTACCACATTTCTATAAATATGTTTAAAATGACTTAAATTATTAAAATAAGTACAGATAACTAAAACTTTATACAAACAAATATCAGAAGACTCAGAAAGGTGAGAAGAAGAAAGCAGACAGGCCAGGGACCTGGGGACCTGAAAAATGCCACCATGGTAGGTTGCTCAAACTTTCTTCTTGGCTTCATACATCCCAGACCTGGAGCTAAAGAGACAAGAAACCCAGCAATGCCATGTGGAACAGGCGGACAATAAAAAAAAACAGCCCCCCCCCAAAAAAAAGCTGCTCACTCTAGCCAAAGGGCCAGGGAAGGGTTGTCTAGCACAACAGATCACTTCAGGGTACAACCACTCTCCTCCAGCCCAAAGCCCCAGGAAAGGCTCTGTCCCCATCCCTCACTGAGATGAAGGCTCGTGACAGACATAGACTCCCCACCACCACCACGCTGATATCAGTGAGACTGAGTGAGGAGAGTTGGGATTTTCATCCTTGTGAGTGATAATGAGCACCTCTCCCTCTGTCAGTGGAGGCTGCTTGGAAAGTAGTGAGTCCCAACCCCATCCAGCAGGAAGGGAGTGCCCCTGCCTGTCTGTGCTGGGATGGTATCAAAGGCAACCTAATGAGAGTCCCCAGTGAACTCTCATTGGTGTGAGTGGAAGACCAGTGGAGAGCTGAGCCCACACCCCTTCCCAGTAGTATTGAGAAAGCCCTCTGGGTGTCAGGGATGGCCCATGGGGGATGTAGACTTATACCCTACTGGGAAATGACAAGGCCACCCCCCACAACGACTGACCAAAGCGAGGGCAGAGGAGGCCAGCTCAGAAAGAAAGTAGAATTAAGTCCAGGATCTCAGCATAACATCCAGTGTCCAGCTCTCACTTGAACAGTACTTGTCACACCAAAAACTAGAAAGATCCCAAATTGGAAGAAAGACAATAAATAGATGCCAAATTTAAGAAGAAAGATGTTTTAGAATTATCCAACAAAATTTTTAAAGCAGCCATTATTTTTTAAAAACACTTAAAAGGATGAACAACTGGGCCAGGGATTTAGGTCAGTGGTGCTGCTGCCTGCCTTGCAAACGCAAACTTGATCCTGGGAACCAAAACAAAACAAAAACAAAAACAACAAACAACAAACAACTAGAGTATATTTGAAACATGAGAAAAATAGAACTTGGCAAAATAATAGAACATACAAAAAAGGACAAAATGGAAACTTACAAGTTAAATTAAAAATGCAATAAATGAGCTCAACCCTGCAATAGAGGGACAAAGGAAAGAACCAGAAAATGGGAGAGAGCACAGTAAAAATTACCCAATGCAAGCAACAAAGAAAAATAAGACTAAAGGGGAAGGAATTAAGCTTCAGGGGCCTGGGCACTGTGACAAAATGTCTAACATCCACGCCACTGGAATCCCAAACAGAGAGAAAGCATCGGACTAAAACAAAAATCACTTAATAATGGCTGAAATCCTTCCTGCATTGTGGGTGAGATGGCAAAATGGTACGGTGTCCCTAGAAAACTGTTTGAGAGTTAAGAGAAAAAAAATAAAGATATTCAGGTACTTTAGGATCAAGCAGTGGCAAGGCTGGGCATTTGTCCCAGGGAAATGAAAGCCACATTCATACAAAAACCAGAGCCACTCAGTGCATAATAGCCCCAAACCAAAAACAACCCAGATGACTTCCACACGTGAATGGTTAAACAACTGTGGTACATCCATACATGGAGCACCGCTCAGCAACCAAAAGAACAAAGCCTTGATACACACAGCAGTCAGGATGGATCTCTGGGGAATCTTACAGAATGAAAAAAGCCAATCCACAAAATGTAGGATTCCATTTATGCAGCATTCTTGAAATGGCAACATCATAGAAATAGAGAATGGGTGAGCAGTTGCCAGGAGCTGGGGGTAGGGTAGGGTGAAATGGAAGCCAGTGTGATTACCAAAGGCCTAGAGGAGGGGCCTTGTGCTGGAAATGTCCTGTATCGTGACTGTTGGTGTAGGTATCCTGATGTGATATTGTGCTGTGGTTTTGCAAGATTTTACCAGGATCTGGGTAAAGGGGGCAAGGATCTCTCTGTATTATTTCTTAAAATACATGTGGATCTATAGTGTCTCTCCACAAAAAATTTAATTAAAAAAATCAAGGTCATCTAGAAGAAACAAAACGTAGAACAAAAAATCTGCATCTCATCTCCCAGAGATAGCCACTGTTAGCGTTTTAGTGGCTAAATCTGTATCCTCCCAGATTTTTCTATGCATGTAAATACTTGCCTTAAATGACACCAGACTTCCATCAACACGAGTGAACTTTGTTACTACATCCTTAAGTACTCCGTGTTCAGTTTTTGCTGTGCTAAACATCACTGTGCTTAAATCCATACATACATGTTTGATCATTTCCTTTGGATTTATTACCACAGATAGAATTGCAAAATTCATTGGTTGCATGTTTTAGAGGCTTTTGAAAAAAATTATCCAATTTCCCTCAAGAAAGCTGATATTAATTTCTACTTCTAATATGCAGTGGGTTATAAGTCACTGCTTTTGTGGAAACCAAAAGATGACTACGTATCTGTCCCTCACTTAACTATTTTAATTACCCTGCAACCATGTCAATGAAGCAAAGAATTTTCACTAATTTTAGTGGGAAAGAAATAATGCATTTTATCCCACCCCAAGATATCCCCAATATTTCACAGATAAAAATGATCAAGCAGACCTTGAAACTGAGTGGTAAACAATCACTAGAAAGTGAGTAAGTACAGTTTGTTTAAAAAATGCAGGCCGGGGATTTAACTCAGTGGTTCTGCTGCCTGCCTCACAAGTACAAGGACCCAAGTTTGATCCCTAGTACAAAAAAAAAAAAAAAAAAATTCAATGAAAGTCTGAGGTACTGAGCTTGGTCATGAAAGAGGTGTTGACTCATTCTTGGGCAAGTAATATCTTTCTGCCAGTTTCTTACCACTTTTCAACTTCTGATGGACACATATCTACCTTGTCCTCCAGCTGCACTGCCAGTGAAGTGATGACACAGAAACCACCCTGAGAGTCACACAGAAATTGACCCCAAGCGCTGTGTGTGGCAGGACACAGCCTCACACGCAGGCCTGGAAGTCTCAAGTATGCCCCTCCACTCCTTCACCTGCCTTCCATCCACACATCCAGACTTTTGCAGTTCAGCCCCCAGTTTCCATGTTCCATGTGCTGTTGTCTGCTTAGAAAGTACAGTCACACAACAAGGGGAAAAAATGAAAACCAAGATCTGTCGTGTAAAGGTACAAGATCCCAGGAATGAATGTAACTGTACTGTATACCTAGAATGTACCAATAAACTCAATAAAAAGAAAAATAAAATATTGTCACATAACTGGGGGCCTTGTTTCTGCCTAAAACCACCATGTTCAAGATCACTTCTGTGTTCGTTTGCTAGGACTGCCATAACAAAATGCCACCAACTAGGTGGATAAAGCAGCAAAAAGTATTTCTCACAGTTCTGGATGGTGAAGTCCAAGACCAAGGTGTCAGCAGGGCTGGTTTCTTCCAAGACCTCTCTCCTTGGCTTGCAGATGGCTACTTTTATGTCCACACATGAGCCTTCGTCTCCATACACAGCATCTTTGCTGTCTCTCTGTGTTCAAATTTCCTCTCATTGTAGGACACTCATCAGTTGGATTAGGGCCCATCCTGACAACCTCAGTTTAGTTTGATCACCTCTTTAAAGGCCCTTATCTCTAAAATATTTTCAGGGAACCCTGCTCCCAAGGGCTGTAACTGACAGCTGGGGTAGAAGCAGGAAGGTTCTCTGCATTTTCTATTGGAACTTTCTGTTGTTCTACATGCCTATATTCACACATCTTCTAATAAGTGATTTTAAGTGAAGGGTTTGTCTGGCTCTTCTTTGTCAACAGAACCCAATACTTGGGAGGTTCTCAAGTGTTTGTTGAAAGAATGAATAAATGGGCACAACAGTGACTTGCTCTCATGTTCAGGTACAGGGACCCTGCTGGCCACCCGGTGACCTCCTCTCTGTCTTTCTCCTTCTGTTTGCAGACGGCAGCAGAGACCTCCAGGAGGAAACAAGCCCCAGCAGCACAGTGACCACCAGCCAGGCAGTGCCAAACACAACAGGGACCATCAGAAGTCCTACCAAGGGGGCCCAGTGCCTCATGCCTCAGGGAGGCCTACCCACCACGGCTACAGCCAGAACCGGCGCTGGCACCACAGCAATATGAAGCACCTGCCAGGCGACAAAGGGGAGGCAGGTGCCCACCGCAATGCCAAAGAAACCATGACCACCGAGAGCCCCAAACTTGAGGACACCACGGGGGACACCAGGCACAGTAGTCTCGAGCCCCCTTGCAGCCCTGATGCCCCAGCCCTGCCAGCATCCGAGAGGGTACCCACACCAGTGCCAGGGGGGCCAGAGGCTGAGACAAAGCGTAAAGACAGTATTATTCCCGAGCGCGTCGGGGAGCGGCCCAAAATTACCCTGCTCCAGTCCTCCAAAGACAGACTGCGGCGAAGACTAAAAGAAAAGGTACCGGTAATTGAATTTTTGTTGTTCTCTTCCAACCGGGAGGACAGCCGAGAGGTAGGCACTTTGGTCTGTGGACTTGGGGTGGAGCCTTGTGGGTTGGGCAGGGCGGTCTGGGAAGCTGAGAAGGGAAGCAGAGGCTTCCATGGCTCTGTGGACTCACTGTGCCAAGCCACCATTGCTATGGTGCCACTGAGCCTCCAGAAGACAAGCTGGTGGCATGAGCCCTTCCAGTATGTGCCAGCCTTCCACCTCTGGTCCCCTGAATGGTCCAGGATGGGTGTTTGGTACCAGCCATCAGCCTGAGAGGCAGAAAATTGGGAGGAAGAGGCACATCCCCAGGGTGATGATAGAGGGTTCCAGGAGCATTTTCTGGGGGTTGGATCCTGCCCTCTGCCTGCTGAGTAGCATTTGGGAAAATGTGAAGAACTGGTTCTCCCCAGCATAAGTCCCACACAGACCTGGTCACTGCTGGGATAGAAACCAAGGGGAGCTGGGCAGAGTGGAAACAGGTGGCCTCAGCTTTCCTATTCCCCACTTTATTTCCTGGCAGCCAGTGAGAGCTCAAAGGTACAAACGGGAGAGGGTTCCAGCAGCATCACCCAGCTGCGAGCTGCCAGATGCACTGGTGTGACCCTGAGAGCCACACACCTCCATCTGCTGCCTAGAGCCTATCCTGCCTCACTCTGGTCTCTGGAGCCAAGTCACCAGGAAAGGAATGGGATCTGTCACTGGCAGCAGCAGGCTCACTGTACATGCCCTAGCACCATCACCTCAGCTCCAGTCCCCACCAAGGGTAGAGGCAAGGTCACCTGGAAAGGAACCACTTCCAAGAAGGCTGACCTGCCTGCAGCCATTCCTATATAGCAGGCAGAGCAGAAGGAGTCCTTCCTCTGTGGCATCCTCAGTGCTTGGGGTTCTGGGCTTCTCCTCCAACCTCTCTCAGCTGCCTTCTCTCAACCTCTTGCCCAGAGGGTAAGCCCAGGACCACCCTCAGGCTAAGGTGGAGTGCCCTCTTCCTGGGTCAGTTCTCAAGCCAAATGCCAAACCTGTGTCCCCGATACCCCAAGAGTCCTACCCTGCTCCTCCCTATGGGAACAGAGCTGAGAGACCAAGAGGAAAGCCTCCCTCACATCCTCCCATGCCACAAGTAGACACCTGGCAGAGCCTCCTACCTGATGGCTGCATTGTGCCTCAGACTGATGAGCTTCCCAGGCTGACTGGGAGGAGGGCTGCTGGCTGAGTTATCTAAATTTCGGCCAGACACAATGCAGGGCAACACAGAAGAAATGCACAGGCTTTAGTGCTCAGTGGGCCAGTCTCAGTCCTCACTCTACCTTTGGCTGGATGACCAATTACCTAACCTCTCTGAGCTCCAGTGTACTCAACTGTAAAAATGGGTGCTCTACTACCTACCTTGCAGAGAAGATGTGAAGATTAAATGAGGTGACATGTATAGAGACCCTCGTGGGTAGTTATTATTCTATCCACAGACCACTGTGCCTGCCAGGGGACCCAAGTAGTTGGGATCTAGGGGCGTGGAGGAAGGAAACAGATAAGGGAAATCTGTAGCACCTTAGATGGGTTTTGAGGGCTTGTCTCAAGTGAGGCCTGCTGGACCAAGAGGACATGGGCTTAGTCTCTTACTGGACCAGTCCTTGTTGTATTGGCTGTCCTCCAAAAATGAGCAAACCCTGGGACAGATAAGCCTCTAAACAAGCCTTCTAAACAAGAATCTCCTCAAGAAGAGATGAGATTCTCTCCTCTTTTGCAGACATGTATAAGTGTTAGGGACCAATGAGAGTGGAGAGCTGTATCTCTTTGATCTAGTCAGGGAGTCAGAGTAATCAGAAGGATTGGAGAGGCTTGAGGGGAAGGAGCGGCTCCCAGAAATCTACCCTCACCTACAATTCCCTTCTCAAGTAGAGACCAGCTGCCATTGGACCCCACATGATAGAACTCAAGGACAGCTCCAGATCTCCTCTGACATGACCATGTTAACCCTGAGTAAACAGCCTCAGAGGGAAACCCAGTGCACATGGCTGGAGGCAGAGAGCAGGATACAGAGCCTCATTCTGCACCTCTCAGCCCAGAAGTCTGGTATTGAGAACAAAGGGCAAGTGCGGGAGGGACCTCATCATGGGACCATGATCCTGCCCTTCAGCCAGATCTCATCTCCCAGTGGTGAAGTTGGTCATGTTCCTGGCCACCAGTTTGTTCTGTTTAAATACATACTTCTGAGACAGCCAAATGCCATTTTCTTCCTTTCCAGCCCTTGGTCTGGACCAAGTTACTGTGAAACTTCGTAGGGATATAGGGTTCTTGCCTGAAGTTTCCCTCCTAGAAGCCTCAGCCACTGGAGTGGCACATTGGAAAATTCCTTGGTTTGTAGTGATTGTGTGTAAAGGAACAGCACAGTCTCCACAGGATGTGAAGCCAGGGCTGTGTCCATGTGGAATCTTATGCCGAGAAAACAGATGATGTGAAGGACACACAGTGGCCACCTCGGGACACCTCTAACCAACATTGATTCTGCTTACCTTCTTGGCCTGGTCTTCCTATCTTCATCTTCCCTTTGACCAATTTCTTACTTGTTACCTTATTCCATCTTTTATGAGCCCTATTAAATCAGTGCTAGGTTAAGACATGTAATGGACATGGAAACAAGTTTAAGAAGTCAATTAGAATCCTGTGTAGGAGGTAGAACTCACAAGAAATGTCAACCCAGGACATTACAGGGGCCAGAAAAGAGTCAGCCAAGAGCCTGTGGGGCATGAGTGTCTTTGGTGGGGGTGAGCATTCCCAAAGGAAGCAGATTTCAGGTTCTCTTTTCTGGGGGAGGCAGCCCTCCTTCCCCCAGGCCACTCACACTCACGAACACCCCACCTACCCTCAGGCACACTTGGTTTGTCCCCCACACCCTCAGGATGAAGTGATGGTGGAGACAACCAACCCTCAGCAGAACAAGATGGACAAGCTGATTGAGATCTTGAACAGCATGCGGAACAACAGCAGCGACGTGGATGCCAAGCTCACCACCTTCATGGAGGAGGCTCAGAATTCTACCAACTCTGAGGAGATGCTGGGCGAGATCGTACGGACCATCTACCAGAAGGCTGTGTCAGACCGCAGCTTTGCCTTCACAGCTGCCAAGCTCTGTGACAAAATGGCGCTCTTCATGGTGGAGGGGACCAAGTTCCGGAGCCTGCTCCTCAACATGCTCCAGGTAACCGGACACCGACAGCTGCTGCCCATGCCCGCTGCCCCTGCATGAAGGTTATTGTTAGTGGGGAGGGCTGCAAGTTCTGACCACTGCTGTCTTGTCCTGAGTTTCTTCCTCCCTTGCCCAATTAATTATAGAAAATAAGAAGGCAGTCAAGGGGTGAGGGATAAGTGTCCAGATTTATGTGTTTGTATGAGTGCTCCATGGTTACGAAGGACCAATATAATTTTATAGGTGCTTTTTGTTCGACCAGCCTTTCCCTCTTTCTATTTTCATGATGTTGGATCTGTGTTTTGACCTTTGCACGTCTGAGAAGACATGAGCTTGTTGTTCAAGTACCTCTCTCTTCCTCCTCCTCCCCTCGAGAGCCAGCCCCTCAGAGCTTGGCAGCTGTGCATTGGTATAGCTAGGATTGAGATGGGTTTGAGCAAAGCTTTATAGGACAGTCTGACTGCTGCGACACTGGAGCTGTGAGCAGAGGAAAAACAAAGCAATCAAACATTGTCTTGCTCCTTGGTACTTTCCACTAATTAACCTTTTATCCCAGTGTGTTGAACCCCAGTCCTACTTGTTCCTGCCTCCGTGGGACTAGCATCCACCCATGGTCTCATGTGCATGCACAGAGGTTATGTGAGTGAGCACTTTAGGCTGAGCTCAGTACCTTCTCTTCTCACAAGTACCTGTTCTCTTGTGGGCAGCTATACATAAACTAGTAGCCTCAGAACTGTTGGCATCAGGGAGAAATGGCAGGGGACATGGCCATGTACCAGTCCTGAGAGCCATCCATTGAGACTCAGAGCTGGGAGAAAGCCATCTGTCGTGCTATCTTGTGCTTGAGATACTAGTTAAGATATACATGGAGCTGCTGCCCCAGATCAGGGGAAAGGGTCACTTGGAAGCTGTGAGAGGAACCACTTGCAGGTCTGTGGTAACTGGGATTATTCAAAGTGCCACATTTCTGCTAGCACAAGGGGTTCCACTCATAATTACACCTAGACAACAGGGGTAAACAAAGGCCCATGAGGAGCCTCATTTCAGCCGCCCAGCTCATAGTTTGCTGTCTCTTCTCTAAAAGTGACAGGAGGAGGTTGCTGTGGGCCATCCACCTGTGGCTACACCACCCCATGCCTGCCTGTCCTCTTCTCTCCCATGTGTCTCGCTCATTGCAACCTGAGCCCTCCCTGGCCAGCCCAGGCTGCTTCTCTCCAGATCCAGTCCCTGATCAGGTTCCCATTCCTGGATCGCCCACACTCCCCTGGTGATGAATTCCCGCATTACCTGAGGGATTTGCACATTGGGCATGTTCCTCGTGGGGCGGAATGTCCTGGGAGAGCGTAGAGGGTGACAGGCAGGGAGAGGCCTGTCTGCCATGTTCCACCAGGCATGGGGGAGTCAGGGACAGGAATTGGCTTTGGACTTGGCTTTGGGATTTTTTTTTTTTTTTCACTGAAGGGCCAGGATGGTGCAAGAGTTCTAAACTATGACTGCCAACTCCAAGTAGCCCAGCCAGCCCCTGTGACAGACAGATACATAGGGTGTGGGGCACCCAGGGAAGATAGCTGGCTACAGGGGACACCCCAAATCAGGCATGTGTTCTAGCCATCCATGGTAAGAGCAGCCTTGCTCACAAGTGTCCAGACAAGCACCACACCTGGGAAATGCTTGGCCACAAAAGGGGCCCAGTGACCGTTGTACCTGCCTTATGATCACCCACACGTTCCACTGGCTCAGGACAGGCTCCCAGTGTCCCTCAAGGTAGGAACTTGTTGAACTGTGTTTGATGCAATGGAGTCCTGTCCACATCCCCCACCCACCACCTTCTACCAGACTTCTTGTGCTGAGACACAATGGTGCAAACACTGGGGTGGGTAGCGCTGAACTGAACGCTGGGACTGGGTGCTAGACCAGGCTCAGGCAACAGCAGCTGGAAACCAGCCCCTGACTGCTGGGGATGAAGTGGGACCTTGGGAAGGAGCACAAGTGAGCCTGTCCCTTTCACACTGCCTTGCCACTAGCTAAAGCAGTCTTGCCTCCCCTCATCCTCATAAACCACCTTATCCCATATGTGGTTCATCAGTAGTTCTGTCATGAGTGATACAGAATTTGTAGCCAGCCCCAGAAGCCCACCTACTGATGCTATCTTGTGTCCACGCAGAGAACTGGCTCTTCCACATTCTGCCCATGCTCCCACCACCATCCCACAGCCAGGCCAAGCCTCGAGCTACACCCTGTGTGGACAGACTCTCCCCCTGCCCATGTAGAGTTTACTTCCCCTCCCACCTTAAATATCCAGCCCTTTGCCAGTGCAACCTGCACCCATGCTTCAGATGGTGCTCAGCACTCCTGGAAACTCACTCTGGCTCCTGCAGCACCCAGCCTCTGTCCTAGCCCCTGGTGCCTTGCAACAAATATTCAGGTACCAGCTTGAGGCTCAGGATTCAGGGGATGAGGGACAGTCCACAAATGAAGCTTGTCCCTCAGTGAGGAAGGAGTAGGACTTCACTCAGTGACCACAGGAACACACAGTAATAAACAGGTGCCTGTAGTCATTGACTGCCTCTTCCTGTAGTCATTGGTCTGGGATGCAGGGATTACCTCTGGCTTGTGCATCTTTCCACCCTGGGGTCTGCATGGTTCTCAAGAGGCTCCTGTGATCATGGAGAAATGGGTGCTGGGAGGGGAAGGCATTAGAATCTTTGCTTTCTCCTCTCGCTGGCCATGGGCCTGGGAACAGCTATAGTTCTGGGCAAGAAAGGAACTCCTGGAGGCCCATGTTGTGAACGGCAGGGCTTGTCCTTCCCACAGTGGTAGAAGTAGACCATATACCAGCTGGAACACCTGTAGCTCACCTCGTAGGCCACCCCTTGCCCCCTTTCACGTGAGTGAGGAGAGGCTTCATCTGGGCACTGAGCCTCTGGGCCATTGGTCCAAGTCCCTTTTAGCTGCTGTAGAAAGCCTTTGGCTCTGTGGAATAAAGCTTCCCTGAGCCCCTGATTACATGGCTCAGAGGAAGCCAGACTATATGCATGGGCCCCCTTCACCCCTCTCTGTAGCCACAGAAGTGGCAGTTTGCAGCAGGGCTTTCTGGGCACCCTCAGGCACGGACACTCACTGCCCAAACCTGAGATGTCCAGAAGTAAAGCAGCAGGCGCAACACAACCACTGATTCCCTCTTAACACCTGGAGAAAGTCTTCCTTCCCCTGTTCTATCTTCTGTCAACCTCATATGCAGCCCTCTCCTGGCAGACAGTCCTAGGCCTGGCCCACATCAGACTTCCTTCTTCTTTCTCTCTGAGGTTCGTGCTCAGTTCCATCCATTAAAGCCCACTTGGCTCCAGATCCCCAGCCAGCCCCTAGTCCAGTTCAGCAGCCTTTGGGGTACCTCTCAGGTGGCCAGTTTTGGCTGCCACCTCCTCATGAACAGGAGAACAGGAAAGGGAAGTCCAGGCTGCCTTCATCTTCTCCAGCCTCAGTTTCCCCTCTGTGCAGTGAGAGAGCTGGGTGGGACCATTCCAGGACCTCATACTTCCTCACCATCATCTTGAGATTCCTTCCCAAGGAGGTAACAGCTACCTTTTCTCTCCCACTGGCCCCATCTCTCTCTGTCCTCAGCTCCTTTCTCTACTTCCTCTTCCTTCTGGTGTCAGCTATCTATTGGGATTGCTATCACATATTTTAGGGAAAGGATCTCATTTTCACCCACACTGCCAGGCTAGGCCAGAGGCTTGGCCACCCAGGAAAGCTGGGGAAGTGATCAGCCATGCAGCTCAGTGGACCGCACCCTTTCCCTCGGAGGCTCCCAGCTTCTGTTGTTCACAGAGTTCTCTACTGAATAGGTTGTATGCATTGATTGTTTCTGACTTCCTTGAGACTGTAGGCTGCTCTGGGAAGAAGTATCCAAAAGTCTCCCTTGATCCTCATCAGAGAATTGCCATGTGATCGCAGGGAAGGGGAAGGCTCCAGTTTCACCGAGAAGTGAAGAATGAGTGTGCCTCTTTTTATGGGATCTTTGGAATGACAGGAATTGTAGGCCTGGGCCCCCTCCACCCAGCACTGCCCTGTCACCGCCCCAGGCCTTCCACTTGGGCTCAGGGAGTGCTCCTTTGCTGAGATATGCTTGGGTAGTACAAGTTCAAGCCCTTCTCTGTTGAAATGTGTGTGCCCTGTTTAGCTGAGAGGTGTCTGCATTTGAGCTATGCAGAACAAAGTATTATTAGAGTAGGCATCAGTGTGTCTGTAACCGAACCCAGCCTTCCCTAACAACTGTTGCCAACAACACATCTAACAGAAGGATGCAATACTTTTTTTTGAAGGGAAAAAAAAAAAAAGAATTTTATCTTGACCAAGTCGTAAACACAGAAGGACTGTTGTGAAAAGACAACACAAAATCAGAATCTGGAATGTGACCAGATTTCAAAATAAATTGCTCTCCCCCAGTACCTTCTAGATTTAGCCCCTTAAGAAACTCACCACAAACTAGAGAATGGATGAAATCGGAATTTCTGGCAGGTCACCATGAAGTCTTGTGTTCCGGGCTTTTGATATAAGATGTTCAGTTTGGTGGGGTCTCTAGATATGATTTTAGCCCCCTGAGGGGCACTCAGATTTCTGGTCTGGCTGTCCTTAACGTAAATCAAAATATTGTCTCACACTCTTCCTTCTCTGCTTAACCTGGGCTCAGCCCTTCTGGTCCTGTGTTGAAAGCCTTGAATAGAAGAACCTGGCCATTCCTCTAATTCAGTTCCTAAGAGGAAACCCTCTTTTTCTCTGGATCTCTCCAAGTTTCCAGAAAAATCATAAAGTCCTTACCCTTTACTAGAGACCTGGAGTTCCTAACCCTCATCTTCCTCAGAGAAAGGAAGGTAAGGGACTGACTGGATGCTTGGAGTTAGTTCCAAGCAAGTCTGAGTTGTGGATTTCTTAAGGGTATAAATCCTACCTGTTATCTCCCATCCCCAGATCCTAGCATTATGATAGGTACATAGCACATGCTCAGTAAATAGCCATGGAAGAGAGAGATGGAGACCTCAGTTTCAGATCTTCTCACTACCAGGGATGCAAGCCGGTTGCTGTGTCTGAATCTGAGGTGGGTCTCAGGTCAGGGATCTCTCTCCAAGTTTACTGACAGCAAAAGTGGCTCAGTGAGACCACAAGTCATGAAGCTGGGCTCCTGGCCACCATGCCACTCCCTGAATAGAGTATGGGATCAGAAGCTTGGGAGAATCAAGAATCCATAGCCACTAGTGGTGATCTCAGAATCCACCCTGTAGAATAATCCCACTAGAACTACAGTGGTCCCTAAATTCCTGAACCTTCTGGACCTCTGGATGCGTGAGGGAACATCACCGTCCATGCATACTGGTTCACCTGAACCACCTGGCTGTTATCCCAGATTCCCTCCTCCTCTCACCCTGTCCCTCCACACAGACCTCCCTCCCTCCTGTATACCCACTGCTGAGCCCATATGCACTCCAGGCATGTGAACTAATTTCAGTGCTGGCCCAAGCTGGGCACACCCCAGGATAGAAGCACATTGTTCTGAGCATTCCACAGCCTGAGCAGAAGCCCTGGGCCACATCCCCTCTTCAGGCTGGGGAAAATCAGGAGAGACAGAGCAGAGGGCCAGAGGGCCAGCCAGTAGTGCAAGCCTTTTCCCAGGGGCAGGTCATGGGGGCAATTCTGGAGGCCCATAAAGGTCTTTTTTTCTCAAAATTGCTGGCATCTGAGCACTTGTGCAAGTCATCTCTGCCCATACTGAAGTCCAGGGCCTGTGAGGGGTGCACAAAGAAACACACACATCCCCCAGGATGGGCACTCGCAGACCTCAGCAGACCCACCTCATGTGTCACAGAGGACCAATTGTCATAGGAGTTTGAACCTATGCCAAGTCTATCAGGTCATGCCTGACAGGGAGAGCTGATGCCCAGCCTGTACCCAAACTCTTAGTGCCTGCCCCCTGCCACAGCCAGACTGGGCAGGAACTCTGCATCTTGGACTGCACGCATTCCACCTGCTTTTCTGCAATCTTCTTTCCTGCCCGTATTCCTTATTGAGCACCTTCTGTGTACCGCACACTGTGACAGACCCATCTCAGCTAATTTGCCAGATTCACTAGTCCTCTTAGCTCTCAGATCCAGCTGGGATGTCCTAAAGTCAGGATTCAGACCAGATTTCTCTGACTGTTCAGTTGTAGAGGTGGAGCAAGGAACGTGGTAGTCTAAAGGTACTAAGGATGGCACTTTGGAATGCTCAAAAGGACAAAGCAGCTAATGACTTGGATATTAAAATATAATTTGGTTTTTGAGCCAGAAAATAAAGAGGGGAAATAAAATGACCACAGACCCTCAGTCAGTCCTGGAGGGAGCCAGAACAGCTGCCCTTCAAGTATCCTATCCTTAGGTGGGCCTGGGGTGGGGCAGAGCCAACCACTCCCTGGCCCCACAGAGATCCAGGAGATTCCCTGCAAAGCCAGACATCCAGCCTGCTGCTACTGGGATTCAGAATCCCAGAGAGCCCTGCTCTTGAGAAAACCCAGATAGGCTTTCTATATACAGCACGAACATCTGCAGGTCTCATAGGCAGCTTCTTTCAGGACACAGAGATCCTAGATGTACCAGGGTCATGGGACTTTTAGGCAAAAGGAATGTTTCTTATGATAAGTGACCACTGCCCTGCATTGTTAGGAGTGTAGGTGGCTCAAGAGGGTGAAAAGGGGAAGAGCCAGTTAAGCCTGAAGCTTCTTGAGTCAGGCCAGCTGGACCCTCTACAGCAAACAGGCACCCATCATCTCATGAATCTCACTTCCCTAGACAGGATTTCTTGCCCTGAGGCCTTGCAAACCCAGTGTGCTAGTAGGGAAGAGTTAGTGCTGACTGTGAGTGATTAAAACTTGTCTCTGGGGGGCACTACAGTGTCTGTTTGGTAAAGAACCACAAGTTGTGGTAGAAATTGAACTTAGAGCCAAGCTGTCCTCAGTTGCCACCCCATCGGGGTAATGCCCTGCTCTGGGGAAAAGGGAACCCTAGGACTCTCTCGCAACTCACATCACAGATCCCCAGGGGTGACGTTTTTCCCTCCTGTGCAGATTTATTTAGGGGCAGTGAGGACAGGCGGTGGCTGCTCATTGACCAATGATCTTACAGAAGGCCTGGGACTTGGCAGATGTCTCCTTCCTCCTCGTGTGTTCTGCCTCCTCCAGAGAGCCTTCCCTGGCCTCCCAGTCCAGGTACCTCTCCTTTCCCTGAGCTTTTAACATTGACTGTGTAAACTTTGCACAGAATATGCAAGAATATGACTGGGTCATCATTGTGTCCCACTACCTAACTGGCACATAGTGGGCATTCAACAAGCATCAGTTGGCTGGTTCCAGAAGCTTCAGGTCCGTGGGACAAGGGAGCATCAAGTGTGCAGAGTAATTGCACAGGTCATCACCAGGGAAGGAGATGGGGTAGAGGAGCTTTCCTAGGGTCACCATCCCCCATGTCCCTGGCAGGCCATATCCTCCTCCCTGTGTACCCTCACCCCCCAGGCCAGCTTCATTTTCTCTGCTAAATCCCCTGAGGGAACTTGGCCGGGCACTTCCCCATCTGAGGCTGCCATGCCGAAGCAGGCCCTGAAGATAAGTGGGTTATCGGAGAAGGCCAGCTCAGGTGTCCTGGGCCCCAGAGGGTCACCCCTGGCTGGCTGGCAGTTCACCCCAGCGCTACCACCCCCACCAAGCCAGGCAGGCAGGAGACAGCAGATCCCTTCCCACAGCTCAGCTAGTGGCCAGCCCCCAGCCGCCACCGGGAATCTGAGCTATGCTAAGCGGCTTCAGATCTCAGCATCTCAGCCCTGCGGGGGCACAGCCGGCCCAGACAGGGCGCCTCTACCTGCAGGGCTGCCGCTGGAAAGCTGGCACCACCAGGGTGTTGGAAAAAAAAATCTCCCTGCAGGTTATGTAACTGCTTACCACCCTGGCCCTGGCTACCTCAGAGGCCACAACCCCCAAGGGAGAACAGCAGGGACGGGAAGGAATTGCAGAGGGTCACTCTTTCAAAAAAAGAAAATCATATTAAGTTGTTGGAGGTCTTCCCAGGACCCAGCCCTGGCAAGGCCATGAGTAGACTGAAAGGATTGAGGGGCTACCATGTAGGGAGGACATTTTCCAAGGAACAGACCCATAGTGGGGCGTGGTTACAAGGGAAAAGGAAGGGCAGTTTTGATGTCTGTGTCTGGTTTTTGTTTTTGTTTTTTGACATCTTTAAAAATTGTGATCATTGGGCCAGGGATTTAGCTCAGTGGTTCCTCCGCCTACCTTGCAAGCGCAAAGACCCAAGTTCAATCCCCGGTACCAAAAACAAAAAAATTGTGATCCCATGCAACATAAACTTCAGTCTTAAACAACTTGAAAGCACATCTCAGCAGCACAGTGCTAGGCAACTACTACAGCTACCCACCTAACCCAATAACCACTCTATCACCTGAAACTGAAGCCCCTCTCTGCCAAACAGTAACTCTTGATCACACCCCCAGCCTCCACCAACCTCCATGAATTTCTCCTGTGTCTGTATAGCATACAAATGGAAGCATGTCATCTTTTTCTTTTTTGCATGTGGCTTATTTCACTTAGTGTGATGGTTTTAAGGCTTATCCATGTGATAGCATGTGTCAGATTTTTCTAATTGTTGATTATTTCAGTGTGTGTGTGTGTGTGTGTGTGTGTGTGTGTGTGTGTGTGTGTGTGTTTATTCATCTCTCCAACAGTGGACACTTTGGGTTTTTCCACCTTTTGACTTTTGTGAATAATGCTGCTGTGAGCACAGATGTGCAAATGTCTGTTTGAATCCCGGCTTTCAGTTCTTTGGGGTCTATACCTAGAAGTGGAATCACAGAATCACATAGAAACTGCATGCTTAACTCTTTGAGGAACTGCCAAACTCATCTGGAGGATCCTTAGGAGGATTGCTGTGAGTTCAAGGCAAGCCTGGGCTACATAGTGAGTATAAGCCTGGCCCGAACTACATAGCAAGCTCATGACAATCCTCCTGCCTCAGCCTCCTAAGTGCTGGGATTATGGGCATACACCACCATACCCAGAAATAAGATCCTTCCTTTTAATGACTAATTTGTGGCACAAGAAATCATTGGCACAGCCAAGAGTGAGCCACCTGGCCCTGGCTGGCACCTGTCACCTAAGCAGTTTAGAGCAGGGTCTACAGTCTTACAGCCCTCCACTCACTCATCCACTAAATGAACCATAATACCTGTCTCCTCCACCAGCTTCCTGCCAGTCATCATGTAACAATTCACTAAAACTCCTATAGTATCATTTTGTCTGTGTCCTCCAGAAGGGACTTCTGAGTTTCATAGCAGCGTGTTCTTCCTTTCCCTGGAGAATCCCACTCATTCCTGGTTCCCAGGAGATGCCCATACAGTTCTTCTTTTACAAGTCCAGGGCCCCCCAGGCACACTAGGACTTGGGGTTGGATGCAGCACACTGCATGGCCCTAGAACCCAGCCACAGGGCAAGCCTACAGAGGGCCCCAGGGCTTGCTGGTGCCCTGAGCTCGGCACTGTTAAGCCCCAGTGAGATGGCCACCCACCGGCCTCCTCCATACTAGAGAAATCAATTTGGGAACATCAAAGGAGAAGGTAGGCCCTAGAGTGGGGGGAGGCTTCCTGGAGGAGGCAGCATGAAGGAAGAGGCAGGATTTAGGTAGAGAAGAAAATGGGGGGAAAGTGCAAAAGCTTGCATGGGAAGGAGATGAAGGAGGGTGGAGGGAGGGAGAGAGGGCTGCACAGGAGGGTAGAGAGGAGGAAGACATGACTCACTAGCCTGGCTGAGGGTGTCAGACAGCAGGGGCTCTTCAATGGCAGCAAGCCCAAGGATGAGGTGCCCGGCAAGGCTGTGACCCCGGGTCACCGTAGCCACACTGGCCAGTTCATCCTGCAGTTCATCCTGCTGGCGCCGGCTTCTCACCATTTCAGGCCAAGAGCATATTTTCATCCAAAACTAAAGCTTTTGCTTCAAGAGTTGTGTGAGCTTCCTGCCAGCCTCAGGCCTTTTCCAGTCTTGGGCAAGAGGCAGGGCAGACCCAGCCTGAGCAGCGGGATTGGGAGTGCCGAACCTCAAGCTTCCACAGAGGCAGGTAATATGGATTCAAGGCCTAGCATCTCAAGCAGCAGGCCCATCTAACTCCCTTCCCTGATGAAATCACTGCCTTGTAGGAAAGGCGAAGGATCCAGGTGCCACTGCGTGTGGCCCACTTAGCCCACAGTGTCATCCGTACCCTGAGATGCAGCATTGTCATAGAGCCCTCCTACTGCAGCAGCCATGAGCCCTGGAGAGAGAGAGAGCCAGAGCAGAGCTGTGCACAGTCTTTGGGCCTTCTCCTCTTTACCCTACCCCAGCGCACAGCCTCTAACCTCCCTTAGAGGGGCTGGGCGAGACAGGAAGTTTGAAATCAACCCATTGCCCTAGCTCTACCCCCTTAGATTCGGTATCCCTTGGGCAATGGGTGACCAGTGGGTTCCTGGAGCCCTGTCCCCACCTCTCACAGCCCCTGGGTGCCTGAGCCTGTGACAGTGATGTGGAGGGCTGGGCTCAGGAGAGCCTGGCTTACGTGAGGGTAGGAAGAGAAGATGGGGGCTACGTAGCCTGCACCTGGCCAATGTTTTTCCAAAGCAGGGTTTAAGGTTCAGGGTAGAGGATGCACTCTGGGCTGCAGGAGGCCTGGGTTCCAGCCCCAGCTGCCGTTCTGTGGTGCAGCAGCCTCAAGCCAGTCTTTCTGCCCTTCTGCTGACTTCCTTAGCCATAAAATAGAAGGGTTAGAAGAAGTGGTTTCAAAGCTCTCTTCCCAACAAAACTGTTACTCCACGGCAGACATGCTGCACATGCAGAAGGTGCCTGTTATGTGGCCTTTGCTCGCTGGTGGGTTGGTTGATGAGGAGGAAGCCCCATTTCGACTTCCTGCCAGTGGATGGTCCTCACTTGCTCCTTTCCCTGCTCCAGGCCCCACCACTGAGCCTGAAGCCTGTGTGGCTCTTGCCTCCTCCAGTTGGAGTTGTCACCCAGATAGGCCGAGCAGCCTGCAGGGGGCACTAGCATGCAAGGTGACCTCACCTGCCTACAGCCACTCCAAGCATTTTGGCACCCTGGGGGTTGTCCCACAAAGAAGATTTAAGCCCTGTGATGGTGATTGCCACCAGGCCACCTATTTTGTGCAGTTTCCACAAGGGCTCCATTGGAACCTCAAGAGCAAGCCAGAAGAGTGTGTGTTCCCACTCATACCCAAGGTATCACAGAGGCCACAGCAGGACCACAGCGGTCTTGGGCAGCCTAGTGGAGTCTTGGGTCCCGTTCCCCAAGAGCACTATTTGCCCAGAGAAGCTTCTCTCTGTGCCTAGGGAGCCCAGCTGCCCTGAGAAACCAAGGAGAATTTACAAGCTCCACACTGGTTTGTCTAGTGCTCTTTATGCTCCTTCTCAGACAGTGGGGTATGAGGAGAGCTCTGGCAGTCAGTCAGCAGGGCTCCCCATCTGCACAGTGTGGGCAAGAGGGCCTGCAGTAGAGGTCAGGTCAAGAGCAGGCCTTGCTGGCCTCCACAGCCTCAGGAGGGCAGGGGCAACCCTGGGAAGCACAGCTCCTTGCACAGTGCACCCTCCCCTCATACTTCTCCAGATAGCCCTGGCCAGTGGGCCTCAGGTCACCAGCCATGGGCAACTGTGGGATCCTCTGCTTAACTGCCACTACCTTGGTGCTGGGGCCCCTGTTTGATTGCTGTACAACTTATAGAACCTTCTGACAGGATGCTTCCCCGGATTCTTCAGCAGCCGCCTTGTTATGAGTTTGTAAAGTTGAAGGCAAATAGGCCACAGGATCCTAAAATTCTAGAAAAGCATCTGTGAGCATCACAGGAGCCAGAGTTAGGAGGGCATTTCTCAGCCTGTCTTCTAAGGTACTGACATAGCCAGGTAGAAAAATGGGGTGGATTCCTTTGTAGTGGTTATATAGCTACATTTTATAGCACATTTTAGCTGTTCATTCCAGAAATGCTTGCTGATCAAAGAACACATTTATCAGTTGGGGAGCAGGAGCCTCAGGTCTATAGATACAGAGAAGGAGCTATGCCTGTCAGTCACTTGGGGCCCTGTGGCCAGAGACTGCAGCTTTGGGTTAGAGGGACCCAGAACACACATTTAATTCCCTGGCAGGTGTTTCCTTGTGGTAGAAAAGCCTCATGG